TATATAATTATTTAATACAATTTAATTTATATGATTATTGTTTATTTTGCAATTAAGTATATCATTTTAAATTTTGCATTTGTATATAAATATATTTTATATCGCATCAAATATATTTTTTTTATCTCACAGGTTATTATCGCATCAAAATTTCTTTTTTTTTTTGTATTTCCTTCATCTTAAGAATCTTTTTTTCATGATTATTTAATACAATTGAGATTGTATAATTATTTTTTGATTTATAATTAAATAACTCACTTCAAATTTACATCCGTATAAATAAATTTTATATTATATCAAATAAATTTTCTATTTCACGGATCACTATAAACACAATACATATTTTATTTTAAACAATAATTACCTTAATTTAAAAGATAAAATCCTTATTATCAAATATTAATTTTTTTTCATCTCACAAGTCTCTTTTTTTCTTTGTATTTTAATATAATCATTGTTCATTTTAAAATTAATAACTAATTTTAAATTTGAATACATATATAAATATATTTTATAACGTCCAAATTTACATTTAAATATATTTAGTATTATGCACGGGAATGTTACTCGTGTGTGTGTGTATATATATATATATATATATATATATATATATATATATATATATATATATATATATATATATATATATATATATATATATATATATATATATATATATATATATATATATATATATATATATACTATATATATATATATATATATATATATATATATATATATATATATATATATATAATGATAAAATCGCATGAAAACTAAGTAATTTTTTTAGTTTTTATTGTATTTATTTTATATATGTGCGACATGAAATAAGTGTGTGTTTGTGTGCGTTTACACTAATGTTAACCTGACACATTTTTCATATATGTTATCACATTTTTACTAAATGTGTAAATGTGTTATGGTGTAGGGGTATCATCCATATAAATTTGGTATAGTAAATTAGAGTTTGTTCTAAATTATTTTTATAAAATTGGCTTATAAGGTAAAAGATGTCATTCTATATAAATTATTTAGATTTTTTACTCTTATGTCAGACACTTTTTTAAGTTTGGTGTGTGGATTTAATTGGTGAGTGGTCTATAGTCTGATCGATAGACTCTGATATCATATTACAGTTTGATATAACTCATTTTTATAAAACCGGCTTATAACGTGATGGGTGTCACGTTATATAAACTCTATCTTCAACCAATGTGAGACTTGAGATTTTCCAAATATAAATATGCAAAATATTTTTCTAGTTTTTTTAGTAACTTATAGTATTCATTGATTAAGTTGTCTAAACTTGCATCGTATATATTCAGTGATGACTGTAGGAGTGGGTGATAAGTCTCTTACACCTCTAGTTGATGCATATGGTGATGGAAAAGGTTCTAGTCGCATATCGATTAGGGCTACTAGATTTTATCTTACAACCTCTTTTCGTATGAGGCCAAATGTTGTTTGTGGACCACGAACTTTGTGTCTTAGAAGTGGATATTAATGTAGTATATTAGATGTTCATGCTCAAGTGGGGGGGGGGGGGGGAGATGGAAGTTGTAGAAGAGACATGAGTTTAAATGTATGATTAATTGGATGAGGCTGATGATGCTTAGATACCTGAGCATATACCTCAACATGATCATGAGAACCATTTGAGCACAAGTAAAAATCAAGTGACAGATGAGATGGATTCCTATGAGGACTCTTTATGTTAACTCGTTATAGTGACCAAATAACAATTGCGATTATAGTAATAAAAGGTATATGTTATTAAATGGTTATTCAAATATTATTAAAGTATAAGCATAATTTGCTAATCAAATTAACCGGCGTTGAAGATACCCACACATGGTATGAAGTTGAAGTTGTATGTGTTGTGAGCACAAAAGTATATGTTGTGTCTATGATATTACAAACAACAGGTCATATGTATGTGATTTGTCAAGAATATTATCATCTAACCTAACCCTTGAGGTAGGCATATATAGCCCTATATGACCCAGTGAGATGTGTCGTGTCTTAAGGATATTTCCTCGGTTTTAATTAGTACAACCTCTCTTTATCAGAGACAGTAATCTCGCGTGAGTTTAAATTCTATAATATTACATTAGTAGCTTCTTTAAAAGTTACCTTATAATCAATGTTTTCAATTGTATCCTTTGTTTAAGATTAACTCAAGCTATCATCATAATTCTTTAGTCATCCCTTTTATCATTTTGCTTAGAGGACCAAGTTGTTCTCCTATGTTGAATTTATCCTCTAATGATCCACCAATGAATAATTAAAAATTGTATACTCTAAAAAATAACTTTTATATTTTCCCTCTCAACACAATAAATTCAAAATTGAGAAATAACTAACAATATTATACAAGGTGCAAAGGTACATTTTATGTGCAACATACCAATACAAGTAGTGCATAATAATTTGAGATTTTAACTTTCCTTCAATGAATTCCTATGAAGATTATACACAGTTCTTCATCACAATCGTAGTAAATTTACTTATGAACCGGTTCTGGATTTAAATGTCTTTTCGTATGTATGTTATTGATACTTTAGTCTTCAAATGATGTAAATTAGTCATTTAAAATGATAGATATTTCAGTCTCGGTCTAAAGTTTTAGCATGAGCACTACCAATTAGCAAGCAACATGGTATTATTGTTGTCAATATTTGTTCTGATATGGATCATCATATTACTTGCAAATATAGTGTTGCATTTGTCTCTCTGTCCATGGCCCAAAGCATCACTTTTTTGCTTCTTGTGGTTACTCCACCTATGTATACAAGTAAGTAGAAAATCATTGTTGTTGATTTTGTTAACAACAATCATTGAGTTCAGGTAAAGTTAAAACCTAATTGTCAATTGTCTCTTGTCATTGGTCGTTGGAGAGAGAACTATACTAAGGAGGCAAGAGCACGGGAAGCGACATTTGTGGGACGCAATAGACATTAGGAAGACGAAGTTAGGAAGTTATCGTAGATTGTTTTGTATTTATATATGTAGCACATTTTAGAATTTTAAGTATATATTTTATTGGGTAGCTATTTTATCTGATCATTTATTCAACAAATTAATGCAAAATAACTCCGAAAGAAATTAAATACCTCAGTTATACATAAATTTTTTGGTGCATATCGGAAATTTCAAATTTTCGAACTACAATACTAGAATATTATGGAAATTATGAAACTTTCGGTATTTGTTCGTAACAAAAATAAAATTGTCGATATTAATAGTAAAAATTCTCGATATTTTTTTTTTGTTCAATTTAGAACATTTTCAACATACTTTTGAAATTTCCTGAACATACTCAAATATTGTGAAAAACCCATAACTATTCTCGAGAGTAAGGGTGTGAATGGATTATAAACCAAACTAAACCAAACCACATATATGATTTGGTTTGAATCTTAAAACCATTTATATAAAATCAGTTTATTTTTTTAAAACCGGTTTACAAGTGGATTGGTTCGGTTTCAAACCGGTTTTTAAAAAAAATAATAGTTTTTTTAAAAACCAGTTTTAAACCGGTTTCTCTCAAAACCAATTTTTTATTTTAAATAATCTAAACATTTCCGCAAAACCATTTTCCCATTTAATCATCAAAAACACAATTTCACACAAAATCGGTTAATATCTCCACAATGACAAACCAACTTATCAAGACTATTATTCCTATGAGAAAATTAAAATCAAATCATTAACAAACCCACTAGAAGATACATGAATAATTAAACTTTACACTTCACAAATACAAACAGTACTATATGAATTTTGAATATATAAGTGAATGAGAATATGATGAGACACATACACTAGCTCACATTCACATGCTATGTTTAAAGTAGAAAAAAGTCTTGCCAATTTATACAAGTAAAATCTCACTTTCAATTTGACCCAACAATTTTACTGAGTTATATACGTTTTTCTTGATTCATTTGATTAAAATCATTGATGTAATTAGCATCTATTAATCATCATTAATTGTTAATTATCATCAATTTATAAATAAAAAAACAACCTTCCTCGTATCACTAACCGTCCCCTACCGTTACTTAACCGCAACTTTCTCCGTCGCAGAACTATTTCGATAAATCCATGATTGTGATTTAGCGAATTAAGATACAAATGAGATTAAGATTTCTGAAATTTGTGTTGATCTTGATTTTTCCAACTATTATACTTTTATTTTTGAAGCTTATTGAAAAATGGTTACCGGTTTTTTTTTTTTTTTTATAAATGGGGCACCGAATTTAAAATATAAATTTGGATTGGATTTTAAAATTTAGATTAATTTGGATAAGAATTTAGTTTATGGTTATTAGTTATTTTGCACGTTATTGGTTATTAGAAGGGTGTCAGATTAAAACCTTTGATAGTTCTTATTGACTACAAAGTTCTGGAATTACTTTTTTTTTTAAATACAATGGAGCACAACGACTCATATTCTAATGTTCAATTCATGCAACTATAAAATCAAGGAAGTTTAATATATTTTCAAATTTTCTCAAAATTACAAACAAGATTTGAATAGAACAACATTATTTTGAGAATCATTTTTTAGAAACAAATAAGAAAAAATAACTTTTAAAAAAAAGCATCTAGTGAAAAATAATTGCGTACATTACTCTAAAAGAAAGAAACTACTCAAAATATTAAATGATTCAATTGTATGTATAATTTTTGTTGAAAGCTAACCAGGAGGATATCTTCACCTCTTCCAATTGAACTAATTCGAATTTGCTATCAATAAAATTCATAATAAGAGTGAAATATTGTGGTAATCCCTTGAGAATTACATTTATATGATACGAAGATGGAAGACGATCATGTATTGGTGTTAAAGAACCAATTATGGACTTAAATTCGAGGGAGGGGTGGAAGTGTTATCCCACTTACAATATGCTTACGATACTTTGATCGTCGGTGAAAAAAGGTGGTCAAACATCAGCTCCATAAAGATTAATCTTAAGTTATTTGAAATCATGTCAGGCTTTAAGGTAAACTTTCACAAGAGCTTATTGGTCGGGATAACTATTCCACACCATTGGCTTGAAGAAGCAACACAAGTGTTAAACTATAAACTAGGATCCTCAACATTCACTTATCTTAGTCTACCGATTGGTGCTAACCCAAGAAGAAATGATATGTGGCAACCCGTCATAGATACAGTGAGATCAAGAATGTTAAGGTGGAAAGTTAGGTTGTTATGGATCAAAGGTCGCGTGGTCATTATAAAATCGGTCTTGTCGGCTTTATCGATATATCTTCTCTCCTTCTTCAAGGTGCCGTTAGGTGTCCTATCCAAACTTGAATCTCTTTTTAAGCAGTTCTTATGGGTCGGGAGGATGAATAGCGAAAGATTAATTGGGTTAAATGGGTTCAGGTATGCAGGCCTATAAAGGAGAGGGGGTTGGGAATTAAAAGCTTGAGGATTTTTTAACCTTGCACTGTTGTGTAAATGGAACTGGAAAGCAAAATATGAAAGAAGCAGATTATGGTACAGATCTCTTGTAGACAGATATGGGCTGAGAGGTGAAGACATCAGCAATAGCAGGAAAGGATCTTCAGTATGGTGGCAAGATATCTGCCAAATAGATGTGGCGAGATTCGTATCATCATCTGGTTATTCCTCGAGAGAGATGTATAGAAACCTATCATTGTACGATCAATTCGCGTCTAACCAAACTTGGTTGAAGATATGGAATAAGGCAATACCGTCCAAAGTCTCGTGTATGGTTTGGAGAACCGCTTCAAAATAGAATCCCCACAAAATATGAAATTACCTAACCATTAACAGGAGTTTCGATTAATTTCTGCTGGTTGTCTTCATTCTTAGTGCCTCTTGGGTTGTTTGCGTGGTGGTGGTAGGCTTCCGTCGTCAAGTAGAGGGTAGGGAGGTAGGGTGGGGATTTGGAATCTTTGACTTTAGATTGGATGTCGCATCATTGTCGGGTCAGTTGTAGTCTGGTGCTGGCAGGCCTAGTTATCGCTTATTGTCTTTTTTTGGTGCTTGGCGTTCATCTGCTGATTCTGCAGGCTTGTGGTGAGTGGCTCTGTTTTATGTTTGACTGCAAGAGTCATGGTTTTCTAGATGGGATTCTCTGTTGTGCAGTAGTTCTGTAGCGGTAGCGTAGCTGATTTTGCTTTGATGCCAAATCAGGTGTGGTTCGATTTCGGTATCGGCATCCTTTGAGAGTTGCTCACGGATAGGCAGGAGCGCTTTTGGCTTTGCGCTTTGTGGTTTTTCAGCGTTTTTACAATTGTACCTCAGTCGCTATGTTTCAGCTTTAGTTGGCGGTGTTGGGCAATTTTGCTTGCGAGCCGATCTCAGTTCTGCAATTGAATTAAATAGGACAAAGGGTGACTTATTTACAAAAGCTTTATGGTATAGGGCTTTAACTGTTCAATTAAAGTTGACATTGGTTTGAATTTTGGAGATCCTATCTGGTGTAAACTTTGTTTTGGAGCATCGCCGTGCAATCCACGAGATCGTAGAGTTTTTGCTCTGATGTTGTTGGTCTGGTGCTGCCTGATCTGGATGTTTCGAATTGTTTCATTTATTTTTGCCGAGTGCCTTTTTGTTCTGTGATAGGTGTTTGTGAGCTGAGTTGTGCTCTTGTTCAATTCTTTGGTGTAGTAGAATTTAGGATTTTTTTGTCTTAGGTGTTTTGTTGTGGTGTTGCTGTTTTCTGTTGTGGTGTAGGGGAAATTGGCCTAGCAATTTGGTGTTTACCAGTGTAGATGGGGTCTGTTTTGTTTCAAATTATGCATACTGTGTGTTTGTATCTTGGCATGTCTCATGCCTTTTGTTAATAAATTTATTTATCGTCTCAAAAAATTTAATAGATTCGTGATAAAGTTGTGGCAAGTAATGCTAACCCGAGTTTACTTGTACAAGCATGGATCAAGTTGTGAAAGTGAGCATGAATGTGATCACATAATTGACCCTCCATATATCATTAATAAATCTCTTATTGCTTGTGACACGCATTTCTAACCTGAGTTTCCTTGCACGACCATGAAACAAGTTTTGAAAGTGTGTGCAAATGTGATCCTAAAATTGATGAACGTGAAAACAACAAACACAAGACACAATGAATCCCGAGGAAGAAGAGAAAGTATTACAAATTGTGCACATTGATCATATGTTCCACTTGTTGTCTCCACAGTTCTTTTCATCCAACTTTTCACAAGTCTTGAATTGGAACATGACTTTGGAAAGATCTAAGGTAGAGGATTATGTCATTAATTGCAATGATGTTACACGCACGGGTGAAGATGACGGGAGGTGATTTTGTTGCCATAAATAACCAGATAACTAGACTCTGATAGCATGTAACATCTATGATACCATGTAAGATCTAAGGCGGAGAGTAAAATTGTTTTGGTACTTTAAAACGTTGTTGCAATGCTAATTTGATTACAAGAGTAGATTATAATTTATATAACATTCTTAATCGTATACCACTTGGTGTCCTGACCTACACACCTAGTCATAGGCAAAGCCAATTAGGCGAAGCTTTCTATAGGAAGCTTGTGACTATACATCTCACAATCACCAAAGTTATGCCACTTTGAACGGCATTTCTAGAACCAAATAACTTCTTATTGGGATGGGATTAACTCAAACTCAGACCACTCCTTAGACGATAATGGCTGAAAGCAATTCTTTTGTATAATTTTTTTCTAATAAATTTAGCATTAGTTTGAGTAACAAGACATGCAGACCAAAAAAGCAATTAAATATAGACGCCAGACTACAAACAAATGATTAATTGCTCATAGGCCTTGATATTCCATAGTGTTTTATATGTACAGAAGGTGAGTGAGTCTTACACTAACTTGCAAAGGATGCCTAGAAAACTTAGGGCAAAAACCTTACTGGTCATACAAAGCGGGCCGGGTCTTGGACCCCTGTGATCCTTGAGAATGTGCCCGTAAAACTGGTAAGCCCCAGACTACAAAAAATTGAGCTATTCATACAACATTGCTTCAGCAAATCAAAAAATTGATGGCAAGAAGAACAGCTTCCTCTATTTTACTGCTACTCCTCTTTCACATCTAAAGACTGCACTTCAGCTAAAAGCCGATTATATTCATTTTGGGCTTCCTCTATTTTACTTCTAAGCTCCACCACCTGCACAATCATAACCATTACTCTTAGATCACCAAGTATAATAAAACATTCACTTTTTACAAACACTAGAGGGATACAAACTTCAACCATATAATTTATGGTGAAGATTTGTGTGTCTTCTTTTCTAGTACTCAATAATTCTTCGAATATACTCAACCAACAGTACAATGTACAAAAGCTGCTCTCTATAAATTACGCAACAGGAAAATTGAAGTCATAAACCAAACATTACCCTGGAATTAAGTTCTTCACCTCTCTTTTCCAATTCCGAACATCTGAAGGAAAAGAAGAATACAAATAAGATACATAACTGCCATTAGTAATTCAAAATAGGAGAAATGAATTGAGTTGGGTAAACATTGCTGAAATAAAATAAATAATAAATAAAAAATAAAAAAATAAAAAAATAAAAAACGAATGAAACCGATTCAGCTTGCTAAACAGTATTATTTACAATCAAGAATTAGCAGACTGGCAGTAATTAGATATACACTCACTCTGTATGTAATTTCTCATTTTCTTGCATCAACTTTATAGTTTCTGGATTTACTACCTCGTCTGCAGGAGTTGTGGTGATCTACATAAAATGCAAGGGGTGAAATGGAGTTAAATACTATACAATGAACTTTATTGCAGATTATGAAGTCCAAGGAAATCAAGTAAATAATCAAAGTGGAACTGGGCGGCTACTCTCTAGAGTACTGAGGAAAACATTCTATACACCAAACAATGTCGGTAAACTAGAAAAGATGGAGCACATGTGTCAGAAAACATTCTATACACCAGACAATGTCGGTAAACTATGGTGGGGGACCCAAGAAAGATCAGACACACTGGGTCTATGTCTCTATAATAGATAGTCTTTCAATTGGGTACTTTAAGTTTCAAACATGCACGCCCTTTTTGAGTTTTAGTTTAACTCTACTGAAAAAAGTGTAGAGTACACGGCAGTTATGGTGCTGATGTGTCTGTAATTTAGTTATGTCACAAGTCCAAGTAGATTTTCAGTTAAAAATATTTTTTTCAATTAACTTTTTATTTAAAAATATATATTAATTAGGATCCTTTAAAGTTTAAACCCATTCAATACCACCCTGAGCCTGTATCTTCTAATGGCCGACTTTCCATGGTTTCAAGTTGCTGTCCCAAGCAGAACCACAATGCTGTTGATGTTGAAAACATTTAGCAATGATTTGACAGATGCAGCAATATTGACTTGAGAGTGGATAATGAATTAGGAAATTGCTTTTAAGTTGCAACCTATTTCAGGTTATGTGTTCATAGTTGGTACATTCAGGACATATAAAAGGCATGCAAAGCTTGTAAATGATATAGCCATACTTAAAATGTTAGGATTTTCCGCGCTCTAAATTACCCGAGAGATCTAGCATGCTAAAGCTTGCTGCACTACCATTATTAAGCTATTTTTTTCCTGGCACGCTACTACATGCACCTACATAAATACAGTCATTTGAACAGAGAGAAAACAACAATCTATTAAATGAAATAATGAATTAAAAAAATGAATTTTAATTTGAAAGTTTGGTTGGATTTGCTACATACCAACCATTAAACACACATCAGCACCATAATGGCCACATGGGTTATTTTAAAAGAGAGTTAAAGGACAATGTAGTGCATGCTATGATACAAAATATTTAGTTGGGAAAGAATATTCTAAGGACTAATCTAGTACAATTAAATTACTATTAGGACTGCAAAAACAAATCTACCTATTTGATTACAAAATGGTCACATATATATATATTGTCACATATATATAGTCAAGGTTTTTTATGAACAAATCTTTGAAATACAGAACAAGTGAAAACTATATGGCAGTTCAGTAATTAAAATTGAAAAGTAAACAGAAATAGAAAACATTATTTGAAACCAAACAGACTATAAAATTTTATAGAACACATTAATAGGAGAAGTTTGCTCAAAATAATAAGTATTGATAAAATGTAGATATTTCAACATAATGACCAAGAAGCCAATACAGACCTGTTTATTCGGACTGAAACCAATACCAGTTACATATTCTTCACTTGCATGGTTTTTCCTCTTATGAAGGTCTATCAGTTCATCTGTCTTCCTCTTGTTATGATACCCTGAATATTAATGAAGCAACATTAATTTGATGAAATTGGATATGCTAGTGATGTCACAAAAGCAGTTAACTTGCTTGGATTTGCTTTGAGATTCATTTTGTTTCGTTCAAAAATCCAATATACTATATTTCTATTGAAAACAGGGAAGAAACTTTTGTTTTGTAAGAATGGTTATTCCATACCAAGTGATTTCTGCGATGAAGGAAGTGGTTTGGTAACTGGAGTTCGAGACCTAACTTCCGACCTATACCCAATTAGTCTACAATGTGTATCCCTGCAGAATTTAAAGAAAGCCTTGTACATGTCAGATATTAACGCTTAAAAATAATAAAACTATTTTATGGTAAAGTCACTGCAAGTCCTTGTAGTTTTATTAAATCTTTTATCAGGTCCTAATACTTTAGGGTGTGTTTAGTGTCTAGAATATGATAACAAGGATCGTTGATTAAAATAGTTGGATTGAAGTAGGAGTTGATATGAATTGGATAAGCTTTATCCCATCTAATGATTAATGTGCACCCAAAAATCCACCAAATAGGTGGCAGCAATAATAAAAGTATGAGCGCAATAATGGCAGTGATAGTGAAGAATGATACCACTGGTGGCAGAGGGTATTGAATGACAGTGATGGTGATTGGAGTGAAAGCTGTTGGGGAGTGGAGACAATAGTGTGTCGGGGTTAGAGGTTAAGGGTTCCGAGTATATAGATTGCCTAGCAATGGTAGTGGAGGGTGGTGCTGGGAGGCGGTTAAGATGTTGGTGGAGGATGGCAAGGACATGCCACCATGAGAGAAGGGAAAGAAAAGAAAGAGAGGGAAGTTAGAGTAAGGTTGCAAAAGTGAGAAAAGATACCATATGCTAATCATTTCTGACCCAACCCTACATTTAGCAGAAGATTTACATAAATGAATAGATAGGATAGGCAAACTGGACAAGCTAATCCTATACTATTGCCTTAATGAACTATGGATCACTAATATTATAATTATAGTAATTCTTATCCTGGACACCGAAACAACTCTGACGGTTTTAAGCACAAATGTTATTTTTAAATATATAAAAACCATTTTACTAATATTAGTAATTTAATAAAAGCTGAGTTATTCATCATAATTCACCAAACTTTCAGGTAAGTCCATACATAACAAAATAATGATGGTTAAAGGGGCCTAATTAAAAATCATCAAAAGCAATAGGACACTATTAAAACTTTTAAACCACAAGGATCTGATTGAAAAATCAATTATCTACAAGGACTTGTGGGAAAATTCAACTATTTCTTAAATAATAAATGTGTGTTGGTTAAGACACGACAATTTACCAATTAATCCAAATCAAACACTTGCGTGTTTCAAAAGTAGAGTATGTGAGAGTGAAACAGGATGTGGGAGCAGGACAAGCATAAATAGAGAATGCAAGCACAAACAATATACCAGTACTCCCATGTCATTGACTTCAATCGCGCTTCTAGCTTTTGAAACAAGGAAGTTTTCTCAAAATCTTGTTTATCATGAGTTGGCTCAACAAAATCTGCTTGCATGATACCTATGACAAGGTTAACATAGTTAGGACCACATTGCGGATTCAGTATATCTATAAGAATTCTGTTATTTTGCAGTGGGACAACAAAAATTGACAACAATCTATAAACGTCAACCAGAACTTGTCGTTGCACAGTAATGAGTTACTCACCAACAACTCCTCTGCCTCTACTGTCTGAATATCTTACAACCTGCCAAAATGGCTGACATATTGAAAAGGCAATGATAACATTAGCATTTGCGAGGTGGAGGGAAAAAGAACACAATACAGGACAATGTTTACGGAGAGAAAGAAATACAAGTAATAGATAGTGCTAAATTTGAATTTTACTTGTCAAGTACTTGATACGCTGTATGAGCATTCAGAATTCAAAGAAACTTACAATGCTTACTTTTAAAGCTTCAACCAGAGTACTGAGAAAATTGAATGGAAATAAACTCACTTCTTTGGTGTCTTTGGCTTTAAAATGGTGATTTTTACAGTGACATGTCTCTTGGGTTTATCATAGAACAAAATTGGGTTCAAGGCATTTCTTTTGTGCTCGATACATGGCTCTTAAGATCTTTCATAACACTTATCTACTATTTATTTATAACACTTATCTTCTAATAAAATATGACTTGTCATCTCAAAAAATAAATATAATTTTTAGTTCTCATTGCATGCTTTGTTATCAACCAATATATTCTAATCACTGCTAGTCAATCAAACAATCTTTCCTATTTAGCCTTATTTACCAACTAAAACCATCTATTTTATCATAAAATTGAAAAGTCAAGTTTCCTGGATTTTTATGGTATGAGCTCCAATTTGCTCTCCTTGTAGATGTTTAACTACAATATATAATCAATTACCATTTCTTTTCCTTGACATTTGATAACAGTTTTTTATAACTAAACTGTCACTTTTATAACTAATGTGTAAGTCAGCTTCTCAGAAAGGTCTAGGTGCAAGTTGCCAAAATGCAAGTGAACCTTCTATAGTATAAAAATTAGGGGGTAGGAAGCCTAATATAGTAATATCCATGTATAAAACTATTTATAGCCGTGTACATGGCCTGCAACTAAGACCGGGCAAGTACGAAAGGTAGAAAATATACTGATGACTTGTCATTTTAAAAATATATATTCTGGATTTCATGAGTATTAAGACTCTTAGGAATTTGTATTGGGCCTAAATCAATCTTATAAAACCAGCTTGTAAACTGAGGGCTGCCCAAGCTTTGTATGCACTGTACGGACCATATCTCTAGGCAATATGGGACTAAATCCACCCTTCACGCCAAACACAATGTAGGAGTTGGAGGCAGATCACAATGAAGGCAGAATTTCCATCAAATCCCCTCACGCTCGGGCCATAATGAGCCTGAAGCGTAGACTATGCGAGAAGCCCAACAAGAGAGATCTAGGATAGGCTCTGATGTCAGCTTAGGAAATTTGGGTTGGGACTAACACAACCTTACAAAACCGCTTGTAAAGTGAGGGTTGCTCAAGCTTTGTAAACACTACACAAACCATATCTCTAGGTAATGTGTGACTAAACCCACCCTTTCAATTAGGCGGCTAGGGGAGGACCGCATTGAAGGCAGAATTTCTAACAATGTGTATTTACCAATACACACAAGATAATATATTTATGTCCATTTCCTGAATACCATATATACCTTAAAAAGACTAATGGATAATAATACCCCGAAACACACTAGTTAACTAAGATATATGGTAATCGGGAAACCTATTTTAAATTGCCAAATCATATGATTATGCCAAACCTATGAATGCTACCACTCTACATTGATCAAGGTAAATGGAAACTATATGTGCCGGTTTGACAACCACCCACCTTTTCCAACCTAGAAAATAACACAAAGCAAAGCAATTTGTTTTACGAACCACAGCCATATATTACAAATTTGCACAACAAGTAACCAATCCATTGATCAACCATCGCATAAAAAAGTTGCCTCCAACTAAGCATGTTATAACATTTAAGGGTGGTAATTACCAGTATCAGCCGATGTTTGTGATATACATTGAAACCATGGATATTGACATGAGGGGCTTCCTTAAGAAATCCAATTGTTACAAAAAGTTCCTACAAAGTGAATCCAAGTAATAATATTAACATTAATAATTTATTATTTGAAGGAAAAAAATGGGGAAGTATAGCTAGAATAAGATGATATTTCCTCCACAGCAAAAGAAAATTGATCCTCTCAATTGATATATAATAATATATAATGAAAAACATTTCAAAAGTTTGAAATAACCTCTACAGGTCCACCACCACATTGCGGTGTATATTTGACAAATTCAACAAGTTTAAGATCGTCAGCAATGCTATGTGGCTTCACAACTTGCCCTCTCAATATAATTTGGAAAGTTTTTGGTAACCGCAAGTATAATATGGACAAGTACACCTGTGCAGTATGAGAAAATTAGACTCCATAAAATTCAACATTCAATCCAGGCCATAGGTATAACTTTAATACTTTAAGCATACACGTAATGAGTAACGAAATGTTTTTGCAATATGTTCCTCTTGGATTCTCTTCCATGCTGGTTTAGTAGTGATCTTCTTGACATCCCAAGCAATGCGAATATCCTGCATATGAGAATAAACATATTCATAAGAAAGGAAATTTCAACACAGGGCTAAAAAGAAAGCCAATAACATAAAATACAACCTCGGGATCTGTATCAAAATCTAACTCTGTAATTCCCTCATCATTGAACCACAAATTGTAGACAATAACTTTAGTACCGTAAGATCCCATGTTTTGAAACTGCATGAGTGATGAATATATAGTGAGCCAAAATAAGCTATAAGTATAAATGAGTATCATATTTTTTACATGCAATGTACCGTGTTATAAAGCTAGCTTAGAAAGTAGTTGCTAGAAAATTGACTCAATTATTGATGTTATTGAGAAGCTTCGCTCGAACTACATAGTTGTAAGAGAGGGAAGATGAATGGCATTGGAACTCCCAACTTACAAAGAGAGAGGTGTTAGATAAATTGGAAGGGTAACGGACCACAAACATGGAGTCGCAGAGGGATTCTCTAAGTCATGGAAAGGACAGAATTGTTAGCCAATGACAAGAACGGAATTGCGTGCAACAATGGGCAGCACATCAAAAAAAACTGAGTGGTGGTAGACAAACTTAGAGCTCCCAGACCTCATAGGGGCAATGAAGTCATTGGTTAGATTAGCAAAATTGAGTGTTTCTTTTATTCGAAAAGAGTACTAGATTAGCAAGACACCTTTAAAAAAGTTAAGTTTTCAGGAAATACCACTGGGAGAAAAGATTTTCTAGGTGGGGAGATCTAAATGGGTTGGAAGTGCATCGAGAGGTTTTGAGGACTTGCATGGGGTATGGCCTCGAGGAGTTAATTGTGGGTAAATCCATCCTATATTTTTCGTCAATTTTAGATCATACTATAGCTAATATGTGCTTTAGAAAAAGAGAGCAGTGCTTGATCACATACAAGAGTGGGGTGACATGTTCTAAAATAGATTTATTTCTCATTAGGAAACCAATCAGAAAGATTATATTGGAGTGTAAAATGATACCTGGAGAGAGCATGACTACCCAACAGAGTATCAAATATGGATGTAAGGGTTAAGAGGAGGGCAGAGAAAAAAGGCCACAACCGGGTTCCACGGATAAAGCGGTGACATTTGAAGGGTGAAAAACAAAGAATCTTCCAACACAAGGTTTTAGAGGGAATTTTGAGGAGCCACGTAGAAGTGCAAATGATATGTGAGACAAGAAGGCAAAGGGGATTAAAAAAAAGTAGCAAAAGAGACTTTGGGAGAATCAGAGGTTTTGGATCTAGGGATAAAAAATCTTTGTGGTGTAATGAAAGTGTATAGAATAAGGTTAAAACCAACAGGTACATTGATTTAGGTGTTGAACACCATGTAATTTCAGTAAAATAATTATCTCAACAAATTGGTTTAAACACAACAATAAAACAGTTACCAATTTGGCATTCTAGAGTCATTGAATTGCAATATAAAGACATGCCAAATTTAAGAAGAAACAAGAGCAAAAACAATAGGATTAAACCAAACAATAAGTGTGTGATGCTAGGCAGTTATTGCCTACAACAAGGAAAAAACAAGTACGCTAATCATTGGTATGTTCTGAAAGAGTTGGCCGATTATCAGGGGTGGAAAGGAAACATAAAAACTGACTTGTTTCAGAAGATCTGCTTCGGATGAATATGGTGACCAGCGCAACAGCAATTCTAAATTTGCCATAAAATGTTCTTTGCCATTTAACACATCCAACGATGAAGTTGAAGTATTATACTCATAATTCACCTGAAATTGACAAAATTAGTTAGCAATGTCAGTTAAAAAACTATTATAATCTTCAGTATATGCAAATTTATCAGCCAAAGAAAAATGCAAAAAAGTGTATCAAATCATCATCTAAAATGACCCTTCTAGTATCCAGGCTTGTTAAAGTTCAACTTTATATCAAAGAGTGAGGGTAACAAGGATCAAACTACTGACTACTTGGCCACAAAGGCCCTTGATACCATGCAGTGTTATCAAATTGCGATGCCATGGCCGCTATGGCCGATATACATGGCGGTTTTTAGGCTTGCCACAATGGTAAATATCGTCAGCTATTGCGGGTTTTTCCGCCATAATCCACATTAACAGTGCCGCAAGGCGGCCAGTATGGTGGAATTTTGGCTCTCTGCCATGGACTGCCATCCACCATCGACAACACTGATACCGTGTCAAGAAGCTAAAGATAGACATCCTAAAATACCAAGTCTCAAACACTTTATATTTAACTAATGATTGACTAGAGAAAAATATAGGAAAGTGGGGTCACTAATATTTAGAATAACATTACTATGCTAATAACATATAAGTAACCAAAAAATGGTTGTCTTCTATAGTATTATATAGTCTGGCAGCTACTGATATCAGAAAGAGTAAATTGTATTGCAATGAGTGTTCAAGAAAGGAAAATAATAAAGAGAAAAAGGTCCCAGCTAAGAAAATAATCTCTAGCCCCTGGCAATTCAGTTAACAGTCAGAATATCCCCTACATTCTTTCTCCCTTTCCTTCCTACAAAACAACTGACAATAACTCCCTTACCCTCCTTCACGAAAATTAGGCCTCAAGAGTAGCCTTGGGCCGTCAAGTGTAGCTATGTGACCCACTGCCCCAACTGAGATGATGACTGTCAGGGTTTGGTGAGATTGATTTGAATCAAAACCTTTATGTAGTAATAGAATGATAATTACCACTTACCATTGGTACTACTATTCTGTCAAGTTGTGTTTGCATCAGAAATGTATATGACAAAAGTCCAATGCTTTGAGTCAAAATCCTGATCAACGTATAAACAATAAGAGAAGAGAAACAACATAATAATTTCACTTTTCCCACATAAATTCACATATTGCTGTCTATTTGCAAAGCCTGTTAAAGAAAGGTTGTAATAATAGAAGTATATAGAATAAATTGCCATTGGACGACAGCTTCATGAAACAGAAAATTAAATTCCTAATAGTAGAGAATAGATTTTCTCTTATTTCTTTTAAAATTATCTCTCTTAAAATTTAGATTGGGTCTTCAACCCTACAAAAACGGCTTATAAAGTGAGGACTACCCACCACTTATAAACACATATCCAAGTCACATCTCGTCCAATGTGGGACTTCTCAATTCACCTGCTCACACCCACGCCCAGAACTAGACATCTGGATTGTGATCCGAGCAGCCCAGTGGCGGGTAGCCCAACAAGTTTTGGATAGACTCGGATATCATCTCAAAATGTGATCTGGGCTTAATTCAACCAACAAAATTGGCTTCTAAGGTGAAAAATGCCAACACTTATAAACATGTATCCAAGTCATATCTCATTAAATGTGGGACTTCTCAACAGTTTCAATACTATAAAACACCTTATTATATGAATTGGAGAACAAAATTGGTGTCTTAATTTTCAGTTTTACCAATCAAGGAGGGGGGTAAGTTAATTATTTAAAGAATAGATGAATTGGACAGACATTTAATATGGACCTCTAAAAATGGTCTAAGGGTGGATTCTTAACCTTTTTATTATAATAAAAATTCACTTTTTACTAAAAATGGAAAGGGTCCACCTTTGATCCTTTTTGGAAGGTCTGTATTAAATGCACCTCGTAAGCATGGCCAACAGAATCAGAATGCAAATAATTAATAATAATCACTCTTTCTTGGAGACAGAGCAATGGTTCTCTTTGTCAATACAGTAAGAAGCATATTACCTACACCAACATAATAACATATCATAAAGTTATACATTCATTTTTTTTAACCATACCCGTTATTAAGATGGCGACTGAAGACTATAGCATCTGCACCAAGCCTCATACTACTGGTCTTGAAGCCATTTCCATCTAGAACATCAAATTAAAAATAATATATTATACATGAGAGATTTTAGAGAATAAAAAATTTATTGCAGATGTCACAATCCATACACTGTCCAATAGCAAGCTTTGAATTTTTATCTGAAAATCCAAAACTCATGCAGCGACGCATTGCTTCCGGATCCATGCCACCACCATCATCTGATTGCCAAGTGTTGAAACAAAATCAAAACAATTAGAATGATCGTATTCAGTGCAAGCATGTTTCTTCACATACTAGAAACTGAACCAAAATTACTTCCAAATACTTATTTGGAGAGTTCCAGAACTAGCATACCTTGAATCAACAATGCTGGACTTCCATCTCTTGGATTTGAAATTTTATCTACACTGACAAAGGTAGCCCCATTTTGGATCTATCCTAAGAACAAATGCCAACCATGCAATATAAAGTACAAACAAAAATCAAAAGTAGTTGTGAAATGATGGTTTGTACATTGTAACAATGAAAAACATAAAAGTGTGAAAAATAGATATTAAGGTTTTACAATAACCTATGCAATGACAGTTAAAAAATATTGGAATAAACATGAAAAGGAGCTACTGAGGCAGAAGAAATGAAGAATAACCAGAAATACTAACATCTACAAAAGATGAACTATTTCTGGCACAGGGAAATGCCAGTATCACAAAGCAATAGACAATCTACTATTGGTTGGCAATAGCTAACTCAGTATGCTACAAATGACAAAAGAAAATGGCAGACCAGCTTACTAGAGTATAGCCTAAACAAGCCTAAGACGGCTTCTAATTGTAACCGAAATGTTGCAACAAAAAATGCTTAGTCGGCATCTAGGAGGGTGTGTAACTAACTGACCTTGAGTCAGTTAGACCCTTCTGGTACAAATACCAGAGTACAGTGTAAGATACAGTTAATAATTTGTTCACTCAATACAAAGAATATTGACAATAAATTGCCCTCATTTTCTCTCTCTATTCCGTGAATTCTCTCCCATTTCCGCAGCTAATATAATTATAGTTCAACCAACAGAAATAATCACCTCATCAACAGCATTATCAAGAAGCTCTGCTATTGCTGAAAACAGAAAAACAAACATAAATAATCACAAAGATAGGTGTGGCCATAGAGAAGGCACAAGTATTAGTATATATAGATGATTAGAATAAGAACATACCACCAAATGCCCACTTGTGCGAAGTTGCATTTGAGTGAAGGAACATGGGGTGTACGTGTAGATAGCTTTTTCCATCTGCAACCCAAAAAGAATAAGAAATGCATAAGAATTCTGGAATGGACGAAACTCAAAGAAATGTACCTGCAGGTAAAAAGCTTAGAAGCTAGGATGTGATATCTGAAAATGACAATCCACAAAAGTCAAATGGAAAGAAAAATCTGTCAATACCTCCTAGTGTACATTTACACAAACATGGTTGGCGGAAGATTGTGCAGGGAAGTTACAGCCAGGGAACCAAATAGTAAGTTTTATCAATTTCTAACCCACGCACACATATGTAAATGTAAATATATATACCTTTAACTGAAATTTGAGAGCCATGCCCATCATCATAGCTCCCAGCTTTCCAAAACTGTCTGGAAAGTGGTGCTGCACAAATGGATGATGCATAAGAAATGCCAGTATCATCAACTGGCGACGTCCCCTGCTCCAATACACTGGAATTACTATGACCTGTACTCGGGGCACTACAGCTTATATTTTCATCAGCATCTTGTCTAGTCACCGAAATTCGAGATTTCTCACATTTGACTATTCGCCGATCACCAGTCACACGCATTTCCTCAGCGCCCGTAAAACACCCTGGCTCCAATTTAACTGCAACCGGAAGAGCCTTTTCACTTTCATCATCACTAGATAAATCAATAATTTCTACACTCCACATTATTTACCCTATAAACAAAGTAAATCATAAAACAGAAGATTATTACAATATAGCAGCAAAAAATAGGAAGCAAGTTCAACGAATAACATATGAAGTATTAACATGCAAGTAAATTAAGTTCATGAAACTGCATTGGTAATTTTACATATATAAAGTTGAAAGAATTAAACAAGAACAAGAACAATAAATGAATTTCCTGTTATAAAACAGAAAAGGGTTTTGACGTGAATTCGGAAAAAGAAAACATGCAACAAGCGATCGAAGAGTGTACAGAATCGAAGAGATAGTGCGTGAAGCGAATTGAAACGACATCGGAATGCGTGTTTTAAGTTAGGGTTTGGAACAAAATGCAGAGTAAAATTTAGAAACTTACCAGAAAATTTAAAAAGGGGAAAGGAAAATAGATGGAAGGGAAAAAGGGAAGAAAGGTAGTAGGTGAGGCTGAGAGTGGAAAGGAGAGAGAGAGAGTGTCCAGTAGTGGCGGATGCGGATGCAGACACGGACAGGTCTAGAGTTATAGAGTTAAAGTTTGAGAGCGAAACAATGATGAAGGACAGTGGCTGGCTGTTTAATTTTTAGGTAAAAATATAGTAGTGTATAGTAGTAGAATGTGTTTACTTTTCACAGCCACCAATTTTGTTAGTTATCAAAAGTTTTAGGAATAATAAATACATTAAATTTATATTAAAATTACTTTTTTTTTAATTTTAATTAATGTTTGCTTAAATCAATTTATGATGTTTTTTAACTTTTATTCTCTCTATTTTAAAAATATTTTTTTATCTCTAAATTTTAATAAATTTAAGGGTTCAAATTTGTTTTTTTTTATGAGTTGGATGATAACTATGATTATTTTTATTTATTTTTTTATATAATAAATTAATTTATAATTAATTATTAATTTTAATAAATTTTGTTTTATATTTATTTGAAATTTAATTAGTAGATTAATAGATATTTTTAAAAAAATTGATGAGACCTTAAGCCTAAACCTGTCCAACCTAATTAATACAATATATTTAATATTATGTGATATATATAAACTCTAATATTATCTATAAATAAATTAATGTGAGATTTTAGTCTTCTCTCCAACTCTATCCTCAATTTATGACATCAAATATTTTAAATCTCTTGCTCGGTCAAAACCCCTTCAAATGAAACTTTATTCTTAATTCTATTATATTTTCAGTATGTTATATCGATGACAAAGAACACACTGAGTGGATTTTTTACATTAGCATTTTTTACTTAATATTTGTATCATTTTATCACCTTAATCACATAAGTTAGTTAAAAACGTAATAAGGTAAATGAATGCGTTTGTAAGTTGTGAAGGCTTTATCGGGTCATAAAGAGTTGTTGAACACTGAACTGTGTGATGTTTTGGTGGTATATACTCCTAATGTACATTATAACATTCTTATGGACATAATTAATAATTCAAAACAACATCATGTGTTGGTAGAAAAGTCATTTTGCATCACTTGTTGCATCAATTCAAGAGCACCAATTTCCTTTCTTGGTTAAGGTTAGATTTATGTACTTGCACTTGAAATCTTGCAGTGTGATAATAAATTTCTTACAGTGCTATGAAACAAAATGTTAGATGGTTTGGTTTGGAGTTGTCAAAGAATGTATTTAGTCATGGTCAGTTGTATGTCGCAATGTCCCGAGTTAAGACAAAACAAGGTCTTAAAATTTTGATTCATGATAAAAATAACAATATTGTTGCTACTACCACTAACGTTGTATTCAAAGAAGTTTTCCACAATATTTAGAAGGTATAACAATCATACTCTTCTCTTTGGTTAAGTTTTCCATTACAATAAATGATCCAATTGTTCTCTAATTTTTTTTTACAAGTCAACATTGTGATATCAACTCCAACCGACATATTATTTTGCAACGTCGGTTACATGATATTTTGTTGTACTACTTCTCTTTTACTATATATTATTACTTTACTCATTTGTTGACAACATTACCATTTCATTTATTTATATTAATTGTTTCATATTCAATTTCTGTTTTCTTAATTTATATTGCTTTCACTTTAATTGCATTGTCTTTCATTTAACTCTAATACACATATATTTATCAAAATTAATTATATATTTATAAATTTATTTGAAAAGAAATAAAAGTTGTAGGTGTAGTGTGGGTTTTGTTTCTCATTAAAATCTTATTGATTTTTAAACAAATATGGTTAGTGTTTATATAACTTATTAATACTACCATTTCTAAACTTTGGTATTGGACTAGTGTTGAAATGTGATGGGCTTGTGGCCCAAAGTATTTTTAAAAAATTTAATTATCTAATTTCTATAAAAAAAAATTAATTAATTAACCTCTCGAAAGACTCAATCAAAATTATTAGTTAATTATGTAAGAAAAATATCAAATAATACATCATTCAAATCATCATTCTTGTGTCATTAAAATTAATTTTTTATTCTAATCATCCATGTCACATATGTAAAATTAGAGGTGGTCAATCAAATCTCTGAGTGGTGTAAAGTTTAGAGACCAAAAAATTCATTTTTAAAATACAGAGGACTAAGAATTAAAAAATATCAAAATAGGGGATCAAAAGTGAATTTAAACCTTAATGTTTAAAGAGCACGCATTAATGTTTTCAAATAAAAATTGTATAAGATTTTGAAAAAAAAAAGAATTGTATAAGATTTAAGTATTAATATAATAAAACTTAGATAGAGTTGTAGATAAGTATTTTTTTTATTTGGTAAAACGATTGAGTTGATTCAATTAAATCACGTGTTTAGGGATGAATATGAAAGATGATTTTTTCCTTTAAAAAAAGTGAAAGATGACTTAAATGTGTCATATAGTGTGCATTACTCTTTTTGTGTTTAATCTTTCTTTAAAATTAGAATGAGTATATCTAAAAAAAATTGTATCTGTGGAGAATCTCTTATTTATAATAATGTGAGTTAGTGCATGTTGTTTATACTTCCTAACTTTACTATGAGAACTCCTAGAACCAAATCAAGATTGATATTGTACGCCAATGTCCATGGCATATGGAGTTAGTGGATGTGTTTTCGTGAGTCAATTGTGTTTTCTACTCAATGGAACAATGAGGACACGTCTAAATGTTTAAAGTTTTTATCTCTTGTTGTGTAGATCTTATAGACGATATCGGGAGTAGTTCATTGTGAAAAAAGTTTATGTGTCACGTCAAATATATTTCAACTATGACCTTTCTTTATTGATCCTATTATTTAGGTATGTTGTGTTAGCGAAGTGTGTATGTATGTATTCATTTACTATGTTCTTCTTAACATTGGGCTTTTTAGGAGTCCACTTGCCCCTGTGATCTATTTGTGGTGGGAGAATCTTTTTCAAAACAAGATCGCCCGTCTGAAAGCTTCGAGGGTGCACCTTCTTGTCGTAAGCTTTCTTCATCCGGCTTTGATATAACCGACCGTATGCTAAAGAAGCCAGTCTCTTCTCATCCATTAAACTGAGCTGATTCAGTCTATCTTTAACCCATTCTGCCTCGTCAAGTTGGACATCACGTAAAACCCTCAGGGAAGGAATCTCAACCTCTAACGGTAACACTGCCTCCATCCCGTATACCAATGAAAAAGGGGTTGCCCCGGTTGATGTGCGTACCGTCGTACGATAACCGTGCAAAGCGAAAGGTAGCATCTCGTGTCAATCCTTATATGTCACAACCATCTTCTGAACAATCTTCTTTATGTTCTTGTTGGCCGCTTCGACAGCGCCATTCATCTTGGGCCGGTAAGGAGAAGAGTTGTGATGCTCAATCTTGAAATTTTGACACAGCTCTTTCATCATTTTATTATTCAAATTCGAACGGTTGTCGGTGATAATCCGCTCAGGGATTCCATATCTGCAGATAATATATCGTTTGATAAATCTGGCGACCACTTGTTTGGTGACATTGGCATATGATGCTGCCTCCACCCACTTGGTGAAGTAATCAATAGCCACCAAAATGAACTGGTGTCCGTTGGATGTCGTAGGCTCGATCTTTCCAATCATATCAATTCCCCACATCGAGAAAGGTCATGGTGATGACATCACATTCAGAGGACTTGGAGGCACATGGATTTTATCCGCATAAATCTGGCATTTATGACACCTCTTTACAAACTTGAAACAGTATGTCTCCATAGTTAGCCAATAGTAACCTGCCCGCAGCAGTTTCCTGTCATGTTATTTAAATTTAAAAAAAAAAATTGAACAAGAAGAAACTTAGATGGATGTAAAATCTTAACCAAATGTTAAATACCAATGTGATATATTTTGACGCCTTTATCATCTGTTTGGTTCAATTGATGAAAGGGAAAGGGAGGAATTTTTATCAAAGAGGAGTGGAGAAAATTAATTTTGGTTCAAAATAGAAAATAAGGGGGAGAGAATTTTACCATAAGCCGCATTTGATGTTTATAGTTTATAATTCGATCATACATTCATTACCGAAATATACATATTTAATTAGAGAACAAAGTTTACCATAAGACACATTATGATGTTTATAGTTTATAAGATATTTTATAAAAATATTACCGAATTCAAAAATTTATAAAGAAAATATTATAAAAAATGTTATGAGAAAACAAGGTTTTAACCACAAAAGAGAAAACTCAAATATAAAATAAACAAAAAAGAAAGACAGGGAGAGAGAGAATTGAATAGAAAATTTAAACCTTTAAGTTTTGTTTGGCAAGATATTTTTTGAACTTATATCTTATTAAATTTGTTGTAAATATGTCTTAAAACCTTTGTTGACGAAGAGAAAGAAAACATATTTTGGATATTGCATTTACCGCGAAAATCATAAGTTTTAGAAAGTCTGACGAAAAGTCGGAAAAAAAAAGAAAAAAAATCAGTCGGTGAATAGTGTTACCCGTACGGATGAATAGTGACGTCCTTACGGATGAATTGTGTATCTGTATGATGAATAGTATTTTTGAGTTTTCGAACTTTTTCGATTCGGTCAATGGATT